ATCCATACAGACAACTTTTCTTGCAGTGTTTATTATCTCTTGCTTGAGGTATATATATATATATATATATGAACTTTATTGGAGATATTCAGCGGAAATGACAGCACATTCTTGAAATGTTTAATAACAATAGTAAATGTTGTACTAACTGAATGTTTATTTTAACACTTAACTTTGTTCTGACTCTTTAAAGGCTTTTGATTAATAACAATTCACGTCAAAGCAACTGTAAATTTCACTCATGTTTGTCTTAAGCTCTTATTTGGTGTGAATATTTAAATTATATTTACTACACTAGAACATGAGACTTAAATAGTACTGTCTCATTATAATTCTACCATCGGGAACCATGTGCACCCGAGACCGATATAGGTGGAGAAGAGATATAGCCAACTAGTTACACCATTTCCTTTTTAATGATGTCATTCATGACCAGATAGATGGAATCCCCACTGGGTCCAATGATAGCCAATAGTTTTCTGTGTTACCATGAATGGAAGTGGCTAGAAAACTGCTAATGTGACTTTAAACCTGTCCTTTACAAATACTATATTGATGACACTTTCTTGCTATTTCAAAAATCAAGTCACATGTCCAAATTCCTTTTTTACCTTAATTTCAAACATCCAAATATCAAGTTCACATCTGAATCTGATATTCACATCTCTGGGCTTTGCACTTGGGACTTCCCGCTTTTTTCCCATTATTTTGTGACAGAGTGTAATGACTTTAGCCTCTGAAGCCATGTGGCAATGAACTAAGCAGCAGATGATACTAAATGTTTGGGAGCCAAGGTACCACAGCGCTATATCCTAGAAAGCATTATAACTGATGGCATTATAATGAGGCAGTACTGTAAATAACAAATGTATATTTATAGGTCCAGATGTTATTTAGTTACAGGAATACAAGTAATATACCTTGGCTTGTGTTTGTTTGTTTTAGAGCAAAGCCACATTGGGCTATCTGCTGTGTACACCTCGGGGAATCAAACCCCAGACGTTAGTGTTGTCCCACCAGGGGACACTTGGCTTGTGAATGTACTTGTGTCATTTGTAAGTAACGTTTCATGTTTTTACTGTGATAATAATACATAATACAGCACTTTAACACAGATGCTACATATTGCAGGATACAGATGTTACTTGATGGCACTCACCATCCCTTCGCGTTGAGAATTATTGCATTTTATTGCTGGGAAACAGATACACTATCATTAATAAGTAATAATGTAAATTAGGATCTTATAATTATAAACAATTTTTGAGAACATCCTTTTGTGATAGTAATTAACAAAGCATAATTATCTTTGAAAACTTCAATTGCAATAGGCCTCAGGCAGTTAGAAATAACGAACACTTTACATAATCATTAAAATACTTTAATCAAAGATAAATGAAAACTAAATGACCAACTCACTGACTAAAACATTTTCTGCTTTGCATAAAATAAATGATTAGAGTAAGTGTTACATTATTATGCTTTTCAACCACTCAAACACAGAACAAGAAAACTTCCTTTAGTCAAGATGCGATTATGATGATAAAATGTTCGAAGTGTACTTTTTTTTACATATATGCTTTGTCAACTAGTATATATATATATACATACTCTAAAAGCTACATGTATTCATTTGTCACTTGCCCAATGTTTTAAGTACACAGAAGTGAGTGTGAGACCTTAGTTTTTCTTGTAGCTGACCACAAGCAGAAGTTCAATGTTGCAAGGTACACTGTAAAACAGCTGTTTTTATTACATGTACAACTTGCATAGGCCCAACATAAGTCATAATATGTCACTTAGCAGTCTGTTGTCTTCTTAATTAGATGGGTACACACTCATGTATTATTAGTTGTTTTCTTTGCTTTGGTGTTATAGCTAACAATATATTTAAATTTATCAAATTATAGTTTTTAACATACATCATTTTTAGGTATATAAAATTAATACTATGTCAAATGTCCACAAGTTTCAAGACCTTGAACTGCCCACATCACATTTCAGACTTTTCAAATATTTCTATGTTCCATATAAACCTGATTCAAGGATGTGTTCTTTAAAATACCAACTTGAAAAACTCTACCCATTATACACCAAAAAAACACAGTAATTATCAATACTCACTATACTGCCAGTAGGCTGTATTATAAACTTGATTGTCTGTACCAAAACAAGAATTTCTATGGATAGTCAAAAGAACCAGCAATGAACTCAAGTGTAATCATTGATTTCTTTGATTTAAATATCGACAAGAATATTTCTTCAATCAAACAAGACAACCTGGATTCTCCATCACTAGTTTTGATACCCACAAAATTTACAAAATAAGCATAACCTGCAAAAAAAATTTGACATTACTAGCAAAAGTAAACTGCACTGATTTGAAGATTGGAAAGCACAAGTTGAAGGTATTAGGCACTGTCAAGCACCTATGAATACAAAGTTTATATTTGTTCTCAGAATTACTCAAAATTTAACATTTATTAGGTCAAACAGAATTTATAAATGAACTTTGAAAACAAACCTGGGCATTTTGTTCCTTTTTTCCAAGTATTCATTCTTCTTTTTGGAACACTTCTCAAGTCATCAGAAAATGGCTGCTTTTCCAACCTATCTGACACCCAACTACAAGATGCCACTGATGAAAGACTTTTATCAGAACTCCAGGACTTTCTTTTATGTTGTGTTTCATAGTCATATTTTGTGCTTGATAAACCAAAAGTCTTTTTTTCAAGAAACGGAGATGTCCCAGTTGAAGATGGGGGTTGCTTATTTACAGAATGATTACACACATGCCGTTGGTCAACTTGTTTCAATATACCAAAGTCACACTCAGACAGTACATCACTGAATACCGAAGATGCATTATCTCTAACTAATGAAGTCTTACGTTGGGGTACTCTGGGGACTTTAAAAAAACCTTCACTTAGATCTTTCTTATTATGATCATGTCGTACAGTTCCGGATTTAGGAAATGTCATTATATTACCGGATGGTAAAATGTGTTTTTCTATGTCATTTTTTATTTTAGACTGTGAGTATAGCAAATCTGAGATTTCTGAAACAACAGGACATGAATTATTTATATTAGAATGGTTATTTGTAAAAGAAGATGAATAAATGTCTCGATGTCTAGTAAAAACCTGTCTCTCATCATGTTGACCATCTTCATTCTTTAAACCACTAATGTTTTTACAGTGTCTACCTGTTTCTGGGACAGAAGTTTCTAGAACTGAAGACAGTGTATCTGACTTAAATAGCTTTCTTTTTACCTGAAGCAAATGATTCTGGCTAATTGGGCTTCTGACTGGAAGAGCTTCTTGTGGTAGTTTCTGAACCTGGCTTTGATTTAATGAATGCTTTGGATTTTCTCTACTCTGCGATACTAAAGATGGCCATTCTAATCTTGAACCAATAGGACTTAAGCAAGAACAACACAGTGGACAGTTGCAAGCTATGACATTTTGTGAATGAAGCAATGTTCCCTCCATTTTTTCTTCCCCAATTTTACACTGAAACTTTATGGGATCCATTCTCACACTGTTACATATTGAAACATGTTTGTTGGTTTCAGAGTTTGCTGTTAAGAATTGACAATTTTTTTCATTCTTTGTAAACCAGTTTTGGTTTTCCTTGCTGTCTTGATGACTCCACAAATTCAAACTTTCATTGTTTTTAGCTAATATTTCATCTGTCTTCTTATCCTTCTGTTGCAAAATACCCAAGTTATTATTTTGTCTATTTTGCTGTTCCACACTTTCCAGCTTTTCACGGTCTTCCTTAATGTGCTGACTTACTATTGAATTCTCCTTTACAGCCTGCTGCACTACAGTTTCCAGCCTCTTTTGGCCACTTTTAAGCTTGCAACTTAATGTTTCTAAACTATTATATCTTTGTCTATCCTGCTCATCATCAATGTACAGGTTTCTAATAAGTTGCCTATTCTCCTCTTTGTAATTTCCCAGACTTTCATGGTTCTGTTTATAATGTTGATATGCAATTTCCATGTTTCCACTTCTATTCTTAACCTGTCGATGAACATTATTCAAGCTCCCACATGTTTCATCATTCTGCTGATTCACAGTAAGTAAACCTTTCTCTCCTTCTTTGTGGCAACAAAAACAGTTACAAGCTTCCAAAGGGATGCTGCCTTTCTCTTCTGGATGCTTCTTTGTTTTACTTATGTTGTCTGTTATCTGCTTTTCTGTACTATTGTTTTTGGTATCTTCAAACCATTGACTTTGATAGCAATGTTTACATCCACTTTCATCACTCATTATATTTTGCTCTTGAAATTTACAAGAAATAAAACATTTTTCTTTAATTGGTAAATTTTTAATTGCACATATATTTTGAAATTCTTTTGATTCTTTTTGATGCTGAGTAGAAGTAACTTTGCAATCATTATTAAAAATCAGTTTTTCTGTACACATTTCACAACCTGAAATCAGTGGTTGGATAAATCGACTCAAACTACTAGGAATATCACGTACATTGTTTTCTCCAGAGTGATATATGCATTGTTTTTCACTACTCTGATTATTCTTTTGTTGAAGTGTTTCTTCATTAACAGACTTAACATTCTGATCACTTAGATTCTTTTCTTCACAGTGCATGTTTTCTTTTCCATTTATATCTTTTAAAAAGCTAGGCTTATAAAACACCTTGTCATTACCTTGTGGTATTAGAACTCTGTGTTCTCCAACTGCTCCAACTGGTAAATGAAATTTACTTTCTAAATGACAACAAGAGATCTGTGATTCTGAAAAACAATTCTTGCTCTTAATATTATTGTTTTCTTGTTGCATAAGTTCATAGTGTTGATTAAATCTATTATTAGATTGTAACAAAGGCTGAAGATGAAACGGTCCTGTTACTTTGTAGTGTGTTAACAAATCTTCAGGGACAAAACAACTAGTTTTATTCTTAGAATTTATCTGAAACGTTTTTTCTAGGGTATTTTCATTTTTTCTGCTTTGCCCATTCTTTGGGCCAGTATTGAACGAAAGCAATGTTTCATGTACAAATTTTCTCAGTGGATTTTCTTTCTTAGAAGTGTCAGTTTCAAAATCCTCCTATGTAGGAATGAAAAAAAAACAGGTTTTGCTTCATCTCAGTAAACCCTATAGAAGAGAGTACAAATAAACATGACAAACAGAAGCCCTCAGTGAAATAAGCATTTCCCAAATCACTTTCCTTATCATTCACTAAATATACTTAAGTATATTGAAAACCTGAATTTAGCCAGTACCTTGGTACTTTATTTTCAATCTACAAACAACACAAAGTAATCAACTAGCTCAATAAACTTGTTTTACATTATGAAATTCAATCTTCTACCATCATTTTACAATACAAGTTAGAAATATTATGAAGGATTTTTTTGTCAGTCACAATATGTATACACACAATTACTTTACATGAAAGTATTTTAGTAAGTGATAAAATAGTAATCACTATATTCAACATACTGTCCAATACATAACTTGTGCGGGTCATCTACACTGTGTCAACAGCATGGATCGAAACCCATATTCTAGTATTGTATTACTAATCTTCAAGCTTACCCCTATTCATCAGGTGGGGGTGAGAAAAAAAAACATCCTGAACTTTATTACGGGCATAATGAGTGTCTCGCTACTTTCCAGAAAATTTTATGTTATCCTCATCAATTGAGAATCTCATTGTTATAAAACCAATTTTAATAACTTAATAATTAAAAAAAGTATCTGGATTAAATGTGCAGGGAGAAAAATTAACAATATTAAAGTCTTTTATTTTAATAACTTGTTTTTCAGAATTTTATAAAATTTTCATTGGTCTTGTTTCTTGAAAGGGAGCTCTTCTGTAGAAATAACTCAGTTTTAAGTTAGTATATTTTAACCCTTAAATGAAAGGGAAAACATGTATGACAATATTTCATGTACAGAGATTAAGCTGCAACTTGTAAACTTGCCAAAATCTAGACATGTGTAAATTTGGCAAGTTAATAAAACAACAAATTCACAGAATTATGAATCATGTAATGTATTCTTAAACAATTATTTCACAAATAACCATCACAAGACTTAATGTATGACATTATATTCTTCTGTGCTTTTGTGAATGGTACTTCTTTTCATTTTTACATTAAGCAGAGGGAGATAGACAATACAAGTGAATAAATGGGTTAGAGTTGCAAATGGTAAATGAATTGAATAAAACAAACAGAAATATACCCAAAGGAAGTGAAGAAAAATTACATCTTCATTAAAATTGCTGTAAGAATCTTTTAAAGCACTGAAAGTGTAAATAGTCCCATTTACATTACATACATGGATATTATGGTCAGTGAGATAGGATTTGGCAGCACACCATAGAGCTAAATGAAATAATGCTTATTTGTAGTGGTTTAAGTTAACTACACTACTATATATGGCATCAGAACATAACATTTACAGTTTTTGTCTCTTTATGGTAAGTTCTCTAAAAACCATTACAGCAGATAATCGGTACTTATAACTACAATACATACTAAGCATATACTGTAACTGACTTGGAAATATTTACATTTGTAAAACAAAAACTGTGAATTTCATGGTATGATGCCACGTGTATTGGTGAAAGCTTCTTGTAACAGTGTCAGTTTTTGTATATGTATATTAAAACTGTAAGAACACACATAAAAATTTTTGATATTTCAACAGTTCGTGTTAATCTTATTTTGTTTCACGTAACATTCACAATTTCAAACAGTTTACTCTTTGACTTGGCCAATATTCAAGTTTGCCTCCAAATTTTCAAACTAGATTAGCCAAATTGCTACCAAACTTGAAGGTCAGCTTAAATTCGTTTCATATATCTTATATCAGTTTCTTCATATAATTCAAATTGCAATATTTAACATTTTAAACCTATATTTACAAATAGTTAGTTTATGTTGCATTAAAGGTAATTACCATTTTACATGTTTCTGCATTGCCTCTTCTTTCATGATCATTTCTTGTAGCAATAAGTCTGTAAACAAAAGACTGAAAATAATTATTCACTTTCAACTGAACAATACTTGTAAATAACCCAATGAAAATATAAGTACAAAGGTTGAGAAGAGTGATCTCTCTAAGCTGCGCAGCCGCACAACAAAAAATCAAGTGTTGTACACTTCATTATTCCAGCCACACACATCCTCAGTAATGGTAGGGAGTCTCAACATGTTGACGACCTGAATGACCCTGGCAGTAGCTAGGCCTAAAGTCCAATTAACCAACTGGTAGCATTGCAAGGTGGCCTAATGATCAATAGAGTCGATGGTCTAAAAATATCCCCCTCCCTAATAAACAAACAAACTGGTAATGCACATCCGCACATTGCCTTGATACTTGTGCGTATGAAAAAATTAATTCCATACATGGATTGAAAAAAGTAGAGGGAACATTGGTTGAGAACATCATTTTGCATAGAAACTGTTTAACTGCTAATTTCACCAATTCAATCTACATATGGCACCATCTTACAACACCTTACAGTATCAAAATAATGATTTTTAAGATTACATCAAAATACAACTAGACACTTACCAAGGCATAACTTTATACTCCTAATCAACTGTATACACATCACATCAAGTAGGACCATTATAGAAGATAAAAATAATTTTCCACATCATCCTAACACATGCAGACTCTTGATTTCAAGATTTTAAACCTAAATATATATATATATATGGTACTATGATTTGGGGCATTATGGACTTAAACACATGGATCATACTTCTTTAACTGAAGTAGTAAATCTATTTGCTCTTCACGTGTGTTGGTAAATACAGGATGATGCTGAATATTTATTGTGATTACCTACTGTTAGGGTTGTACCTTTTTCAAGTTTTCTGCAGTTTTTGTAACTGATCATTATGTTCACTGTACTTGTATATGTATTGGTTATTCTCATATGGCATTAATATAGAGTGATTTTATATTATGCTAATTACATCTGTTTTTTATTTATATCATACTATATTCTCTGTACAATTATTTGGTACAAAGGAAGTTTACTGCTGTGGCCACAAGTGGCTGCGGACAGCAAGGATACCTTGTCCCAGAAGTGAATATAAATTATTGCATTAACAAGTAAATAATACTATGTTACCCACGAAAATGTTTCATTGTTATACAATATAACCCAACCATATTTGTTACTACAACAATCTATATGCCTTATCAGCCCAAGAAAAACCAGTGTCTGATACCTGAACTAGTCTTAGTTTGCCCGCTTATACTTTAAAACTAAGTTGTAATACAAGTGGTGATAGTAGAAATGAAATTCTTTTATTATGCCCTTATATCTATATTTTATTTTTACTATATTATCTATACACTATCCAGTTTGGTGTTGGACAAAAGAGGGTTAGTACCACCCAAGAATTGGATGCAAACAGTGAATGGTAGTACAATTTGGGATGTTACAGACTTAAGCACCTGATTTCACATCTACATTGGGTAGTTACATGTACTGATGAAACAAGACATCCCTCATACTTCTTGGATGCTATTACTGTATTTACCAGCCTTTAAGATTATACCTTTCCTAGTTTTTCTGCAACTAGTGTAAGCGATTATTATTCTTGCATTCCTTTTGGAATTTTCAAAAGTTTTTACTTATTATCTATAATTTTTTTTATACTTCTAATTTTAACTTTTTGTTTACCTTTTGTAATTAACTTACAATGAATTCTTATTGTAAAAACTAGAGAACTGTGTCAAGGAAAAAGTATAGACAAAATTACTTCTCCTCATAGATAATGAACAGAACTAGCTAATAGATAGAACCATTGTAAAAAAATTTCAATCTGGTTTCACTTTGCTACAAAATGAATTAAAAGAAGTTGATTTTGGTTTCATTTTCAAATTTGTATAATTTGATCCTGGAATGTTTGTTATAGTTTTTACATTTAGTATTATTTCTGCTATTGCCTAACTTTGGTTCAAATAATCTATCTATTTTTCTTTCATTTTTCATTGCCTGTTTTTCCATGTTCATTGGGCAAAGACCATTTAGGCTTATATATGCCAATGAATTTCCACACATTATTCCTTTATTTACTTTTTTATACTGCTTATTTCAAATTTATTAGGTAAAGCCTAATTAGAATAATAGAAGCAGAAAAATATTTTTCATATATTCACTTAAATTTAGTTCTAGTCTAAGTTCAAAGATGGTGAAGTTTCTTTTATGCACATGCATAAATCTTGTACATTGACTGTGAAAACTCTGTTAAGAATTTGGAAATGTTTCATTCAAACAAGCAAATCATATCATGCTTGGAACATGACAGTAGAAGTGCAATGTGTTGCTCATATTTTCTTATGTGTATTCCTAAATTTTAACAGACAATGAAGAAATGAGAAAAAATAGTTCTTCTTTGAACACTAATTTGTTTTTAGTTTATAATTGATCAACCTATACAACTAGTTTAGACAATGTTGAATGCATATACACATGCAAGAATTGAAATAAAGTCTTGGTGGTATTTTTTCAAAAGAATTACCTTTGAATAAACTTAGACTCCACATCAACACTATTGGTTGCACATGTTTCTTCTTTAATTCTCTCTTCAAAGGCTTTCCTGAACTGTGAAAAGTTACAGCCCTCTTGCTCTTTTGAAATGTCTTTGTAATAATGTAAAAACAATAATTAATAATGTATAATGCACTAAATAAAATATATTTTAATAAGTAGTACAAATGATTAAAGAAGTCATGTCAATTTTTTTTTACATTTAAAATTGACAAAAACACATATATTTTATGTTTTAATAAATAATCTATTCTACTAAAACATATTCATAATATCTGTAAGATAGTAGAATATGCAGATAATACATTTATCTATGTGAAAAATGGATACCAAATATTAACATCTATCCCAGAAAATTTAATTGAAAACAAACATGTAATTTTTTTATGAATCAGATCACTGACTATGTTAAGAAAATACTGCTTCGGATAATGTTTCCAGCGTTTTTCCATATCTAATTTATACATGTAGATTTCAGTACTTGTTTGCCCTTTACATGTGCATGTTTACTTGTCTAACGGACAATTGATAACATAAATTATAGGTAGATATCATATTTTTGAAATAATGTAAAATCATTCATTCATCTAATGCATCTTTATTTCAAATACTTTGTTATATACATAAAAAAAAATTCTTAAGACAAAAAGTAACAAAAAATAAAACTCGGCATGAAATGGAAGATCTTGCATATATTATTAAAACCAACCAAATTTTACTATTAAAAAAATATTTAGTAAGTAATGAAGAGCTAATATTTTTCAGAGGAATTCAGAATATACAATAACATTTTTGCACTTGGTAATTTCAGGATTTCATATTTTCAACGTGAATGGTACCTCATGCCACACATGGGCTAAACCAGCCATGTCAGAGATCCTCAAAGTTTAGGCATAGCCATTACTAATTAAAACTGGGGATTGAGAGAGAGAGCAACCAGTCAGCACAGCCTATAACCAATGCAGTTCTTTTTAACAAAATACCAGGATTATACAGTTATAAATGCACCACCTAAATCTCAAAATGGGTTCAGTGGCATATCAAGGCTTGAACATTGAACATTTTGATCTACAGCAAGCTAACCTCTAGGTCTTGTCATTCTATCTGGTGATACCTACCTAAATCATATCTCACAAACTGATGAGGATTTCAATATATTGTTTAATACAAAATGTAGCAAAAATAGCACATTTCTGTAGGTTTTATTACTTTCCTGAATTACTTTCTTTTGTCATACTTTACATACACTTTAGCACACTGCACCAGAAGTGGATTTTTCTGGGTTTTTTGCACTGCATGTAGAAAACTTGAGTTTCCTATCTTAAGTGTTAGTGACCATTTTATTGAGGGAGAAACACAAGATAAGAATGCACATCCTGAAAAGATCAAAATTCATATAACAGTCAGAACATAACCTTACTTTTCTAGTTAAAAACAGGCAGGTAGACACAATCACTTCCAAAAAACATACAATACTCTAATAAAAAGAAACAATATTTTAAAACTGTACCAAGTTTCAGACAGACTTTGAGCAAATAATATGTTGCTGCTTGTAAGTCCTTATTCTTGGTTTCTAGACCTGTTCTGAGAAGATTTCTAAGAGCATCTTCCTGAATAATTTCTCTTTGGTACGTTTCTAGAATCAATAAATACAAATATAAATCAATGATTGTCCTACTCTTCTTGCCACTCCTTAGTATCCCCAAGCTTAAAACTTTGAGTTGCATTTATGAAAACATTAACTTTTGTAAAACAAACAAAACTGAACATTTTCAACAATTTCATTCCAAAACAGCTTTCATTTAACATATTATTATTCTAGGTATGTAAATCTGTTATACTGATAAACTAAACAGTAATCAACAGGAGAAGTACATATATTATCCACACACATAAACCTACTACAAGTTTTATAAAGTTCCATAAACTTTAAACTTGAACTACATATGCTACTTTCAGTCCATTTAGCTCAAAAGGTGTCTATATTTGATCAGAAGTAAAAAAAAAAGTTTTGATATTTAATCATAAATAGATACCAAATATGAGACATGCTTTTACTGCTTACCACAGAGGTCAACACAATGTCCAAGAGTAACAATAATCTTTACTTTTAATTCAGCATCTTTGATATCTAGAGTTAGATATGACAACAGTTCAGATACTAGTCCCATCTGGCCTGCAGTCTCACCATTATTTTCTTTGTCAGCCAAATGTAAAAAAAGAGAGATAACAAAACAATAACTTCAACCAATTAAGTATGCTCCTCACCTAAAAGTTAACCACTATATGGTAATCATATACTTATAATTCAAAAATACATTTTGAATTGGTAAACATGTCACTTTATTTAGCTAGTACAAGCATCACTCTAAAGCATTTTTATTAGAAATGACTGATAAAAAAATTAAACGAGGTTAGAAGTTGCTTAAATAACACAAGAAAATTCCATTTGCACATTTTATACCATAGCCACATATCAATGAAAGGTCCCTTGAACTGTACTTTCTAATGAAATTAATAGCTATTTTCATCAACAAAAGTTGTTTTTTGTTTCTTTTAACAAGAGGGAATCTTCAATAGCCATGTCACTTGAAATTCTTTTAGGCAGGATTAGAGTAAATTAATCAATGAGACCTTTTTTTTCCTTTTTATTAGCTATATTTTTGTGCAACAGCAATACCAAGCATGGGGTGCACGTTTACCCGATTCAATTTTATTACTCATCAGAATTTCTACAAGCCTTACCACAAATTCAAATTCTTTTAGGCAGGATCAGAATAAATTAATCTATGAGACCTTGGGTGTGGTCAAATGCATCAATCAAAAGGGTTTGACCTTCTGAATTCAAAACTATAATTAGATCTCAAATTGGTCAAGAGATGACACAGCTATGAGCTAAAAGTTTGTACTGGAAAAAAAACTCAGAGCCATTCTATGAGCTGCTATGCTGCAACTAAAAATCATCCAAGATGAACTTCATGGCTTTTAAATTGCATTCAGATATTAAGCTTATCCTTCCTAAAGCTTGAATAGCTTAATCCCTTGGAAGCTTGAAAATTTTGGTATTGACATTAGAGTAATAATTAGTTAAATGTTAACAGCCTGATGCTCAAAAGTTGTAAAACTAAATAAATGTTTGATTATTTAAGTTTTTTATAATTGCCATGGTAATTTATAAGTCTTTTGAAATAAATTCAACACATTTAAAATATCTACATACTTACATATCTCTATTCATTGAAAATTTCTAGCTGTATCAGGGAGTGAAATTAAGATATTTTTAAGTTCAACCTAGGAATAATAATCAACATTTTAAGTGCCTTCTTATTACTAAGTTTTTATTATTATTTTTTGAATACATAAACATTCACAACAAATGGTCAAGATTATCATGGCCAACTTCATATCTGTTACCACCACCACCATTTCTATAAACACTACTATTACCTATCCACTGCCTCCCTTTTCATTTCTTCTGTTATAGTTTTTATATTTGTTTGTCTGGAGGCTTTCCTACATTGGGAAAATACCATCACATGGCCAAAACCTAGAGATTAGTAGGCTATCTTAGATGAAGATAAATCTGTATTTGTATCTAAAAGTAGTCACAAGCATAAATATCAAATGGAGGGCACATATGAACACATTATGATATATATATTAAATCTAAGCCTAAATCTAGCACTTGGATTGCATAAATCCATAGAACTATACACTAATGGTAAGCTCCATTTCCACTTCAGAAATGGCATAAAGCATAATATAACTTTGATCTCCAGCTTTCAATTTTTCATCAATATTGTCATGCCCTACATCTAGACCTTCTGACTGACATTAGGTCATCTGAATTATTCAACTGCTACTGATGTTGGTGTCTAGGTCTAATGTAGTATAAGGCAAGTAATAAGATAATATTAAATACATATGGAGATTTAGCTACATTGGAACGTGGCATACAAAAACTGCTGATTATTTATACTAATAAGCAATATCTATATGCAATTTTCATCTACATAGGTCCCCACATGACTTAAATAACTATCACTGGCCTGTGAATTGCAGTAACTTTCTACATATGCCCAGTGTGGATTTAATCCTGGTTGTACAATGGTTGTTTGTCAGCTTAGTAGAAATCAAACAAATGATGTACAAGTTAATAGATGATATAAGCAAAGGAATCACAAATCTGTGCTACTAAAATACATTTAGATTCATGTTAGAGTACACTCTCCTTTATACTAGTTTGAAATGGTAATGTAATTTTATCTAGTAGGAGGCATTCACTGTGAAATTTTCTGACCAGTAAAACACCTCTCTTTAACTTTGTATATGGATGTTGCACTGTCTGATGAAATCCAATTGGATGTAATTTTAAAATGAATCAGATAATCGGACAGTATTATCATCCACAGATTATCTCTCAATATTATGTAGGCATGATACGACTTGCACATGCCACACATATAACAGGCACTGCCTCATATATCCCACTCTGCTTCTTACTAGTTTCTAAGCAAGGTAACATTTTATCCAGCATTAAAGAGTGGGGGGTCCTCATCATAATGATGGTTGTCACAAAAATAATCTCAAATAAATATCATACCCATCCATTATGTTGCCACTGTATGCCACAGGTGGTCACAGTAGCAACAGTAAATTTGATCCAATCAGAGGGGACTGAGAGGTGTAAAGCATCTTCACACACCACCACATGCCACATTCCCTTAAAGGGCCCATAATGGCCACTGACCAATACAGAACTGTACATTCCTGTGTATATCCTTCTTAAATGTTCAAAAAAACAATGAAAAAGTAAGTAGTTTAAAATTATATAATAATGAAATGGTAGCTCACGTCTACAGTACATTTTCAATATGTATAGTCAAATCTACCATCCAATCCAAACAAATCTGATTACAGTCAAATATCAGGTGCCAAACAAAAACAATTATTTGTCCCATCTCTAATAAGTATTCAATATTTTCTAACAGTTAATATTTCTAAATAAAAAACGTGTATATTTAATGGTTAAATATGTTCATCTTCCCTACCATGATCAGTCACAATTCCATCCAATACATTCATTACTCCAATTGCAGCTGAGATTGGCCCAACTTGTAAACCCTGATTACAATGAGAGGTTACTACACAATGAATAAAGTTCTGGAGACAATCCTTTATAACTGCCAGAGCTCCATATTCAACTAGTATCTCTTGGTTCTGCACTAATAAGATAACAGTAGAAAAAAAAAGAATGAGGATACACAAACACACATTATATCAAATCTTAAAATATCAGAAACTTTATGAACTTACAAACTGAGTTAGCAGAATTAGGAATATTTATCTGCATCTTAGTTTCAGAAAATTCTAATGGACTTGTATGTGTTTAAATAGAAGATCAAGCTTAATTAATTGTTTATTAAAAATATATATATATTTGAACTCCCTTTGAGCAAGAGCTCTCTAAAGCTTTAAGCATACTCAATATATATATATATATTTGTCAAGGTTGGATAAAAGTACCACTGATATTGTTTGTGTGAATAAAAATAACATAAGATGATAAAAGAGAAAACATCATAAAAATAAATTTCTTAACATGAAAACAATGTTTTGGTAACACCCTAGTTTCTAAATACTACTTTCAAGGAAATACATTAGTTTTTCCAACATTATTTCTTTTAAAACATTCTTTGATGACATTTTTCAGAGTATTCCACTAAACCTCTTAACAACCTGATATAAAATACAAAACCAATCATATAACTTTATAATATTACTTGTTGTACTAATGATGAACAACATAATTTTTTTCACTATTTTAGTTCTTTGAATACATTATTTCAGTGGAGTTTACTGTTTTGTCACAAACAACTTTGGTTTTTAACAGAAAACCTACCCTGACTAATAACAGCAATAAAACCATAAACACAAAAAAATATGTACATTTCAACTTAAATTATCCTTTCTCATGTTCAGAAAAACATAATCACACTACAACTGAGGAGATCGTGTAATGATTTTAACGTTGTATTCCTTTTAATTGTAAATAGAGCAAAACAGGTTATGAATATCAATGATAATTTTTAAAACAAAGCATACTAATTTACAGCCACTTTTGTTAAGAAACTATTAACAAACTTTCCTATTTCAATTGGCTAAAAACAATGTTAAACCATTATGATCCAGTTAAAATACATTTTGAAGATCAGAATAAACCTAATAAACTTGCCGAGTTATGACTCTACATTTCAACTCCATCACTGATTTAAACACTCCTACATTTAATACTTCCTTATTACCACTGAACATGAATCTAAACTCTCAATAATTTACAACCATATAAATATTTAGAAAACACGTAATTCTGTTTTAATGTAGCTATGACACATTTAACAAATATATATCTAGCATTTTTCAAAATAACCTATTATACAATATGACATCAATTACATAACATTTCACAGTAAACTTATCCACAATAGGGTAACATCTACAGGTACACTTAAAAGCAGATACAAGACTTATCCTCACACAGTTCAGAGAATATATGCAAAGGACTCTTATATCCTCCTCCTCTTAGTTGTTTGTTGTTAATAACAAAGTATACACTGAACTATGTGCTCTGCCTAAAATATAAATAGCAACACCAAATTTTTAGCATTATTAGAACCATTAATTTTATTGCTGAGCCACCAGATGGCTCACCCTCCTTTACCAAACTTCATTTCACTTGCAAATACTGTTGTTTAATTTATTGTATCATATTTTATGCTGAAGTTAAACAGGTGATATACTTTATACATCTATTGGTATGGTCTCATGGTGATGGACCATTATATTTTGAAACATGAACAATTTCTAAATCTTATTGATTTATTATTAATTCTTAAAATGAGAATGAAATCTTCAATGAAATGTTAAACTTTAAGACTTACATGTAGACCCTAAGATGTAGGTTAAATACACTATTACAATGCTAATTAATCAGATTTTAGTAAAACTGAAAACATAATCAGAGGAGGATAGAATAAAAGAATAATTAACTGGTGGTTTGGGGCAACATATCATTTGTTTCCCTCACAACTAATCAAAAATGTAATCCACTATACAACGGTTTGACTTAAAGATCACAACTTTCACACCACACAAAAATTATTATATCACTGTTGTATATTTAATAATACTGTATGATCTTCTCAAGAAAATACACTATAACTGATTTAACTTTTCACTAATGTAAAATTTTTTTGCATAAGTTTTTCATAAAAAAAATCATTCGTCATCATTTCTATGTAGTTGCTACTGTGGCAAGAACAAAGTTTTACTTTAGTTTTAGATTAATTTAATATTAAGTCTTAATTCAGTTACTTTAAAGATTATTTAAAGATTTTTGTTGTTACTGATAAGTAAAAACTGAATGAATTTTTTATCAGTACTAGTACTTTTTCATTGAAAGGGAAAATATGTTACAATTATTTCTGAATAAACACTACACACACAAATATATATATATTATTTACATCAAATGTTATTCATATAATTAAGAATAACCCTACCTTTGCACAACAAATGTTTGTACCATAATAATACTTAATTGTATGTTACCATAACTTACAACAGTATTTTTTATCTTTTGATAGAATGAAATAAAAAGATTTATAATATTGTTCATTTCTGTCAATGTAACTTTATCTAAAGTTTTCAGAGTACTAGTTTTCAGAAAAAGAGATAATTATATAATCCACAATAAAATTTTTAGTAAAATATAGGTATAGTTGAACATAATACTAAACACATGAATAAAACCAATCCAGAATAAACTATAAGGGCACTCAGTAGAGTGCATACCTATACCACACAGCGCTGATCATATTCAGCTCTCAAAAAATATGAACATGTGCCCGTATTTCTGCTGCTGTTATCAACAGACACAGACCATTTTTGGAAGGATAATGATCCACATATTTCTACCAAGTTTCAGCAAAATCCGATTATTTTTAACTGAGTCACAGAACAAGAATAGTGTGAAAAATTGGTCCCAATGTTATCACACAGGGCTTTTTTAGATTTTCATGACCTAGCTGGGACCTTAACTCTCCAAAAACTAATCACTTCTAAGTTGGGTCATAGTTCAAATGTATACCAACTTTCATCCAAATTCATTCAGTCATTTTCAAGAAATCCTGCTGACAAACACACACGCACACAGGGGTGAAAACATAACCACCACCACCACTACTGAAGAAGATGGCTGAGGTAACAAATCAATAACACAGTAAAAATGCATAAATAATAACAATTTCAATATAATTAATCTCATAAGCCAATTATTTTAAGCACCATTAAGAATAAGTAACATAACTGGTACCTTCTTCAAATCAATATAACTGAAATTAGTTTCTACATGTGCTGGATGTCACTGCATGGTTGTTTACAAAACATTAAAATAAATTATTAAACAAATAATTAAAACTTTCTTTTATAGTCCCAACTCAGAAACTACTTTTTTTTATAACATACTGCTTTCCTTGATAAATTCTAAAACTTACTATTTGCAGATACTGTCAATGCTAAAAAGGTTGACACAGCCCTAAGAACATTGTAGTTAGTTTCATGTTTCAAAATTTTCAAGCTGACAGGAAACAGCATGGAACATATAGTTTGGTTTTCTTCTGCAAAATCAAACAAGAAATACCCCAACTTAGGAGAGAAATACAAACTATTTAAGATAGCTTTTGAAGCCAAAAAAATATACTTCTAATTATCTTCACATGTTATAAACATTGATCATTTTTATGTCCCAACTTATTCAAGCCCTCCTACAAACCTATCAACTTGAATATTATTCTTCAGCAATTTCAACTGGTCCATCCAATAAGCATTCATAAGTATTTAGAAAACCATGAGCTATTTGATAGAAGTGAACAGTAATTCGTTCTTCTCTGTACATTTGATTACATTACAATAAATAAGAACCATAAGCTGACATATGAATGACCTGAAGATATAAGATTTCTACTCTTTTTGACAAATCAGACATTTAACAATTTCCTAATGCATTAATTGACATAACAGAACTACAGTATTATTGTCACAGGGGAGATAAAATTGACATCCCTTTCAACATCAAATGCAAATCAAAATATTCACACATGTATGATTGCTTTTTAGTATAACCTAAAGTTTTTTTTTTCCTTTACCACTGACCTATTCACTAAATGCCAAGATTAAATGCAGTTCAGCCTTCCAAGGTTAATAGGGCAGTATAAAATTAATTTTATTTCTTGTCACTGCACACGTAAGATCACCTGGTTTGAATTTTTTTTTAATGAGAGACATAGAATAATCAAAGAACTCTTCATATCTTTCAAGAGAGTATCAATTATCTTGTATCAATATTCAAAACTGAAATTAACCTTCTTTATACTGCCAAAACTTCAGTAACTAATGATGTTTCAAGTTTATCAAATGAATTAATTAAAACAGGCTCTTCTAGGCTCACATAGGGTTATTTGTGAGTTCATTAAATACCACTGGCAAAACTAATGATTATTAAACTTTTGTTATCTATGAATCAAATTAGACAGTCTACCAACCATTAACTACACACTAGTTTCCTTAGTAACTATTATGGATATGAATAACATCTTGACACATGATGTTCAGTGCTCTTTAAATTTGAGGTGGGTTTGAATTTGAAAAAACGTATTCTTACTAAATTTGTCTATTTTCATTATATATATATATATATAATTTCTTCTAAGTCACCAATGTAACTATATCAGTTAATTTAAACAGCCAGAAATATAAAGTATGTTACAGAAGTCTTGAGGTAATTTAAGCTTAATGATAATGCTAAGCATCTTAAATTTTGATACAAGTAAAACAGACCTAGCATGAATCCAAAATTAATTTGAAGTTTACTCCAATTTTCCATACTATTAACAATATTCATGCTATATACTTGGTTTTTCTTAATGCTTCTTAGACTATGTAACATAAATTTCTTTAAACTACAGGGATGAGAAGGGCTAAAGGAAAAAATATGAAATATTTTGAGTTCAATGGTGTGCACCTTCAGTGCCCAACATGCTATGGAAGTCTGGGGGGCATTGTTCTTTAGAAACATTTTGAAAACTAGAAGCTCTCTTATGAAATCTTGTGTCTTTAAAGATAATGATAACTTAATTTTACAATGATTATGACATTGACTAAATGTAACAGCTGACCAATGTTGTGAAGGAATAAAGGTCATGAGGTGACATTGCTAAATGGACAAAGAAAGTGAATTTATCTGTTGAAGTTAGGCACACTTTCTTGAGCTAGTTTTCTACTAGGAGATTGTCAAATGAAGACTTCTTTCAAAAGCAAAATGTTTTACCTCTTCAGAGATTAACCCTGAGGGAGAGATAACTAGTAGAATAGCCTATCATTTTGTCTGCATAGGTAAACACATTGTGATTTTATATTAGTTATAATAAAGATTTTGTTCAATCACTCACATTTGTCTAGACTTATTATCTTACACTTAAAGAAACTCAGTTATCTATTACATAACACCCCCTTTATTTTTTGATCAAATCTACTGCCATTTGCAAGTTTGCTTATCTGATGCTTGTAGGGAAATCAGTTTTACCAGAAAATACCATAAAGTAATATTAAGATCATCTTCTTTACAGTAGGTGTCTAGTGTTGAGTATAATTATAAAAAAAAAGTTAAACAATAATTAACAAAAGTCATAACATAAGAAGTAAAAGTAATTACTGCCAGACAGTTGCCTTCCTGTAGTCAGTTGTTTCAGAATTAGGGATGCTGTTATGCTACCTAGACTGCTGCAATGTAACTCCACAATTCGAGGGAAGAGAGCCTCGGGTTTGGCCAGTACTAAATTCTTCTAGTATGTAAATAATTAATTAAGTCTTGTAACTTTCCAGTGCATCCTTAAGCAAAGGCATGAAAGTAATTTGGGACTGAGGTCTTAATAATTACATGGTCAAAATAAGATTACTTAAGTTCCAGTTTCTTTGACCATCTTTCTCGTGGTAACAGCCATTTCATTTCAAAGTGTGACCATATGCTCATGAAAATGTGTATTGTGGGCCACTGAAAACCTCAAATCCTTACTTATTATTTTCTTAATAGTACCAGAAGATATAACTAGTTTTACTCTAATGACTTTTGGAATGAAATGGTTCTCAATCTTAACAGCAGTTTTAACTCTGTGGGGGGAGCATTAGTCCTGATTGGCTTTGTTGTACTAATTCTTCTGCTTACTTAGAGAATGCCAAAGATATGCTTCTTCAAAATGTTTAGACCTTTGTGTTAACAATTTTACTGCATTAATATTTCTTATCGGAAAGAGAAGTTGCATAGCCTAGAAGTCACCAATCAAGTTTTGGAGACATTTCAAAGACCAATAAGCACTGTTTACTTTTATATGTGGAACAGATGCCTATTGTGTGATGATTATTCAGGATCAATCCTGAAATTTGCAAGAAAAGAGTAGCTAATTCATATATTTTCCCATAATCTGTAAATGACTCTAAACTATTACTGTCAGTTACATCTTTACATTTTTGGTCATGTCTCTTAACTATACACAAAAAGCAGACAGGTTGGAAAGCACTTGGTTGACATTATAGTGATTTCCAATAACAATCATGTGCCTATATATATAATTAAATGTAAATTCATGAGAGTGAGAGATAGAAAAAATAAAATAGAAATTTCAGCCACATTACAAACATCCAACACTGAGGCACAAATCATAAATCGGGTCATCATGTAATGTGCCCTGGTTTGTAGAGGTACTGGCAGAAGTAAGACCCAAATTGCATTGGGGGTACACCGTCTATCAAGTTTAATCTTAACTTTGCCAGCATCATATGATCAAGAAAAAAACAAATTGAGCAGATATCAGCGCTCTAGTCCACAACGTCCCACATCTTTACAACCTTTCGCTGTCTGCAGTCAGATGTGGGGAGGTGGTTCCTCACACGAAGAAAAAAATTTAAATCAAAAACATAAAAATAAGAAAGCAGTGAGAAATAACAGTTAAAGTTAGCATTCCAGCCCCTAATATGATGTTTGGACATAAATATCAAGATGTTAAGGTTTTACTAAGGTTTTTTTTCTCTTAATCATGTGAGGCCGGCGAAGTTGAGGTTAAATTGGATAGACAGTGTACCCCCAATGCAATTTGGGTCTTACTTCTGCCAGTACCTTTAAAAACCAGGGCACATTACAAGATGACTAACCTTATGATTCGAGCCCCGATATTGGATGTTTGTATTGTGGCTGCGATTTTTCTCTCTCTCTCTCTCATGAATTTACATTTAATTGTATTTCATCTAAGGTTTGGATATGTTACAAAAGAATCTTGCTATCCTTCCTTATAATGTATTCTCTTCTTTAATTTATTCAAGAAATCAAAAACTACACAACTATCATTGAATATGTGCTTGTTGGCTATACACATTATTTTCTCTTGATACATGGTTTCTAACAGTAACATGAACCAATAAATGTACAAATACATACCTAGTAAACCATCTTTCATGATCAAGAAAAAATTTGGATTGTCTTCTTGTGATATCAAATAATTTTAGTGAAATCTTCAATACAAAGAAAAAATTAATTAACTTATAAGTGAAAAAACCCATAAAAAAGTTACTTGAGTCTCCGAACTTTTAGTTCCAGTAGAATATAATAACACTATCACCATTTATATTTATTTTATTAGAGAGAACAAGAAATGTAAAAAGACTTCTTTGCTACTATAAATCACAGTGGTGATTTATATATATGTCAAGCATCAAAGAAGGCTCATAAAGTAGTAAGCAGTGATGCATATTTGAAAAGTCAGTAACACAAACAAAAACAACATATAAGTAAACATTTTCCTGAAAAATAGTGTTTTTAAGTATTATACAGTGTAATTATTGTTTAAAGGAAAATGCATAATCAAAATTAAAAAAACTGTGCTTTCTGGAAACAATCACATGTACAAATCTACAATAACACTGAAATAAACTATTATATTTAAATCAAAATAACATCAAACCCTCATGACTTCAGTATTAGTACCACTAATTTCTTTAGTATGAAAACATAACATGACTACATATAAATGTGCATTTCTTTTTAAAATACAAAAACTATAATCTAAAAATTCTACTTCTTTTAGCTGTACATAAAACATGAATATAATACAATTTTTGTACCATTTTGAGGGTTATTCACAGCAAAACAGAGAGCTCCATTTACAGCTTGCCACAGATCAAATGATGGGAAACTTTGGATTTCATGCCTTTTTATCTCTACCACCAGTAATGGGTAAGTTGATCTAAAAAATGAGTTTCAAATATTGTGTAATTTGTGCTCAAAAAACTTAAGTAATAAGATATATGGTATATCACTATAGCAATATATGTATATAGATATATTCACAAGTATCACATAGTTCATACACTTAAATGCATGCATGATCTTCATAACAAAAACAAAATGAAAAGAATCAATGCTGTTTAACTCTTGAATAACATACTCTGTGACTAAAATAACAAAGGTATTATCATCCTATGACTAACAGTAGCATAACTCTATATAGTGTAAATTTTATAAGTAACTGTTAAGCTAAGTTTCAACATTCTATTAGCATCTGATATGTATTTTTCATCAACAGTGTATAACTTACAGCTATAAATATCATTAAAGGCAAGGGTACCCAACAATGAATTAAAATGTTCATAAGAAAGAATGTAAAGAAAATGTTAAATGAGCTATACTCATTATCAGGTTGATTTTTAGTTTTTCTCTAGGTAGATAGTTTACTCTGATTGGAAGTTCATATTAATTAGTTCTTTAAACATCATATTAGTACCAACTTAAAATATTTCTGTTATACCTATTACTGCCTGAAATGTTTTTAATTACTCTAACATCTGATCTCCTGTTTCCTGAAAGTATTTTTTTCTCCTATTGAACACATTCTTTTACTACCAGTATCTGGGATCTATTACTGCCCGAGACGTTTTAATTACTCTAACATCTGATCTTCTGTTTCCTGCAAGTTTTTACTTCTCCTATTGAACACATTCTTTTACTACCAGTATCTGGACTTTATATGTTCAAATTAAATAGTTAATAACCTTGTAGTTTTTATTCCACATTTCATAACTTCTTCATTTGGTTCACATAGTAGCTTCAAATACTGTTACAGAAATATTTTTTAAAAATTCTAAACACTCCAGAATATATGAAGTAAACAATCTATAAAAGTTAGCTCAATCAATACCTCCATGATACATGCATTTCAGACACTTATATTGTAAGATTCTGATTACAGAAGGTTACAGTACTTACTTTTAGACAATGACAGTGAAGTATCATGTGACAAACCCCACTTCAACAAACAAATCAAAGAGATTCATAGAGCTGTACTAAGCTACTAACTAGTTGTTGTTTTGGAGTATTTAAATGTTACATGTCGTGTATGAATAACATCTTTCAGGAAACTTCAATGAAAGTCAATGGTTATTTTGAAATAATTTAGAAGGGAAAGGAAAAACACTGTGTCTACAGAAGGTACAATAGCAATTCAAGATATGCAAATTGACTGCACATGCTAGAAGTATGGTTAATACCTATTTCTAATATAAACATCACTTATACTTGTATATGTGAACTAAATTGTTATGAAGGTATCACCCTAGTAGCAATTAGACGAAGAACAGCTACTAACACACAGATTAAGCTACATTATCCAAATGTGACCACTTATGTAAATGTTTTAAAAATGCAGAGTCCTCAACAATCTAGCCACCTATGAAGCTTGATAACAAGTAAACTCTGAAAGTATTACAAGAGCAAATGGTTGAGTAGATGCCATTTAATTGACTTTGTGACTTCTCTGTCCAATTAAAAAATTTACATCAACATTTTGGACATAATTTGTATTCATATCATGATTAATAAGACTGCTTCACTTCCCAGTGTCATGCCCGTTTGACCTGCATGGCATACCCAGGATAAGTATCATGAAATGGGGATATAAAGACAGCAGATTCAACTTGTATGATTGGTTTCCAGGGCAATCTGTACATGAGCCAGTCAGCTACACTCACACCATCCCACCTCTACAATGCAGTTTTGCCTGTAGCATAGTTACAAATTCTGTACCCAAGTGTTTGCTCATTAAAGGTAATAATAAAATAAAAATCAAATAAACTATAAATGGTTTTTTTCCACATTCCTCTTAATTTGTTCAAGATTAAACCAAATATTAGGGCTATTTGCTTCTAATGCTTCTCCAGCTTTCAGCAGTTAAACCATAACTTTAATAATAAAATCCATTTTCTAGCATAGGGGTAGTCGTCAGCAGTGAGGTACTGTAAGCTTTATCAATCCAGGTGCTCATGACTCATATACACCAGTTTCCACCAAAAACTGAGCATCTTTTAGTGACATTGTTAAAATAAAAACACTCTTACATGTAATTAAAATGTAAAATATTTGAAAATCAAATATGACAGAGAATATTTATACATTAGGGTATACACATATTAATATATAATACACAAACTAATTAATTATGACACAGTTAAAAACAATTTTAGAGAATAATAATGTTATTGATAGCAGTAGTCCAGAATGTGCAAATGGGAAAAATAATAACCATTTGCCAGTGCCTTCAAAACTTAAGGTCAAGGCCTGGACTACACTTTAATGCCCGAACATTTTCAGAACAAAGAGTGTAAAGAGCAATTTACATGTAATGCTAAGTTGTTTCAGATCATTTCGACCACTTTTCAAAAAATGCTTATCTATATTTTGATCACCAATATAGGGAGTCACATTTCGCTGTGATCTTTAATAATTACACTTTAAAAAAAAATTTAGAAATTTAAAATTTTTAAAGATTTTTAAATAATACATTATATTAGTATACTTACTGATAAAGATAAATAAGATCATGAAGACAACCTTTTTCTGTCAAAAGTTTTTGTCCTGAGCCTATAGAACATAAAATTGTAAAAAACAAATATGATTAACACTAAAATTACTTACTCAACTTCTGTGAAGTAAAAAGATATTAATTTCTATATACATGCTTTTTCTTGTAAAATATTAATAATTCAACACAGTATAATGACAGAAAAAAATAGATATTAATTTTCTTCAATCATTTATACTCATATTTTTGTATCAAAGGAGGGTCTGGACCATTTATAATAAGTAAAAGGTTGAAGATAGTCATAAAATATGATTTTTCTCTAATATATTATGACCAATTTAAAGCCAACCACAGAGACCTTTCCATTGGTGTGACTATCAAACTTTCCATCCTTCTCTCTAGCTCATCAGTGAACAATACTTGATGCAAGTTGACTCCTTATTCTAAGATGCAATCAGCTCTGCAAATGAAGGCAAGGATGTTTTTGATGGTAGCAGAAAGTATCGGTTATTCATATTTTTATATTGCTAATTTTCAGATGGGAGTGACTGGCAAACGATTGGCCTTACAGCAATTTCAAATTTCAGTCTTCAGCTTTTCAGATGGGGCAAGCCCCTAATCAAACTCCCTCCCACATGGGAGATTTTCTGATATCCATTTATTTAGATGCCCCCCCAAAAAAAATCATGGCTCCAACTCTGCAACATATTAGAATTATTTACAGTTTCTTTTCCCTAAAACTACAAATACAAAGCATAGAAATATAATATTTTAACAGTATCCCAATTCTTTAAATTAGCACAATAATTCATGACCCTAAACTTTTGATTTACGTGGCTGAATAGCTCACTTTGCTAGTGATCAAACAATTTATAATTGGCAATTAAATGGGGCAAGCCCCTAATCAGACTCCCTCCCACATGGGAGATTTTCTGATATCCATTTATTTAGATGCCCCCCCCCAAAAAAAATCATGGCTCCAACTCTGCAACATATTAGAATTATTTACAGTTTCTTTTCCCTAAAACTACAAATACAAAGCATAGAAATATAATATTTTAACAGTTTCCCAATTCTTTAAATTAGCACAATAATTCATGACCCTAAACTTTTGATTTACGTGGCTGAATAGCTCACTTTGCTACTGATCAAACAATTTATAATTGGCAATTAAAAGAAAAACAAACTGTAACTCTTCAGCCATATTAAATGAAATATTACGGTCATATAATGGTGTTTCTCATCAATATGCATGTGTTAAAGTAATAGTGTTTGAACTCACTAATAATAGATTGTTTAGAATCACAACATTAACAAATATTAAATAAAGATTCTAAGCAAAAGTGATAACATACTAGTTCAAATATTTCAGCCAACTATCACATTAACTATTTTTTCACAGAATCTTCCATATATATTAATCTTAATTAATCAGATCAACAGATTTCACAACATATTAAGTGTATCAGTGTGTTTTCTTTGATTAAGAATATTACTCAAGTAAACTGTACTTACTGTTTTGTGCCACAAGAATCATCAATAAGAAAGCAGCACTTTTCAGTAAGTTAATACGGGTACTGGAAATATTTTTTTGAGACAAGACCAAATGAAGGACTTCAAACATGGCTGGTGAAGTTAAGTCTCGCTGATTATGTACTGAAAAAAGTTAAAGGCAAATACCTGGTTTTTCATATAATTTAAAAATTAAATTAAAATAATCTTTCAAACTGATTTGTAAGCCTTTACAATTACCTATGTTTTGTTTCACATTTTTCACTTAATGAAACTCTTGAAAGTATAATTGTAACCTTAAATCTTCTGTAAATAACAAAAACAATATTCTATATTTAAGATTATAAACATAATGTCAAAAAAATTGTGGATATCTTTTTCATTTCCTTATAAATTTTCTGTTAGAGCTATGCAGTTATATTTAGGGTTAAGAAATACAAAAAACATATTTTTATTCATTTATTGAGCAAGCATGGAATTCATATTTCTAAATTAACTGGTTCAAACTTTATATTTCAAACATCATTTCCATTATATTGTAATATCCCTTTCACTTATTTTAATGATATATTAATGTTTAGAATAAGAATTTGACTTTCTATTTGTGGGTAAAAAGAGTATGTGTTTGATTCTTTGGGGTTAACTAGAAAGTGTACACACTTTTTTTTTTATAATTATTAAGTTTAAAATACTCCAAGAACACATACCATTGTTGTCTGCAACACATGCCAATGAATGAAGGCAAAATTCTGTGACAGCCAAATTACTTGTTGAGCTCAAAAGTGTCACAATAAAACTTATTCCATCAAGTTCCCTAAAACATCCCTTTGCCACATCTACATAATAAGAAAAGAGAAAAACTTAAGTGTTCAGCAGGAGAGGGAAGATAGGACTTTAAATTCAATACATATTACAGGTCAATTTCTAGACTATGAACATATCTAATTAAAGCTTAAGTGAATAAGTCAACTTTAAACGATTACACTTCCCATTGTATTAAATAAAATTACTAAACTGATTAGGTGGTCATTGATAGGATCCAATTTATTTGCATGCTAAGTTTTTTTATAAAAACATTATATCTTATAAAAATCTAAACTTAGTGTGTTATTTTGTCACATACAGTCCTTATGTCCGTGAAAATGCAAAACTATTATGGGTTCACTGAAATAACATACACCTTCATTTATAAAAGAACATTCCTGAAACTTTATTTCTCAAATACTCAGTTCTTAAAAGGGTGTGATCTAAAGTGAATTTCTCTTAAAACAAACTTCCTGTAAAACAGACGTAGAATCCACAAAACTGGGTCTATGAGAACTATTTGTCAGCCCTTAATTGTTCAACATTACCTCAAATGTTTAGAAATACAGTTAAATTGTCAATAATAAAATTAAAAATACATTTAAAAAACTTTTGAGGAAGTTTTTGGCTGTTCCACTTGTTTTTTTAATAATACATATTTTTCTCTTTGGCTTATGTAATTTGAAAAATTTGTTGATAATTTCTCTCTGGCTAGAGTATAGCTTACCGTTATTGCTGCAAATAGCTGTCAAAGTCTTCAACGTTTCAAGAATAACATCATCATTTGAGTTTTCATGGCACTTTAGGCAAGATAGTAGGTTATTTAGGTCTGATCTAAGTTCTGAAAATAAATTCAAATAATGAAACTCAATTTGTTACAGAAGAACAAAGTGCAAAATATTTTGCCAAGTTGTCTGCACCAGAGTAAAGCAAGTGCCTGTTATCTGAAGAAATGTATTTGGGATGGTGAATATATTACAACTAAAAAAATATATTGAAATGGTAGGAGTCAGAGATACCATAAATTATGCTTTATGTTTTGTGTTAAACCTACACATACCTGAAAAACAAAAATGTAGTGATTTACTTTGTGTAGAACTGGGCAATCTAATTGATTATCTATGAGCAGTGACTACCTCAATTAGTGTTACATAAACTAATTTATGAAGTACAATTACTATTAAACTGATTCATCAAAATTAGTGTTTCCAAATATTACTGTTTATGATAATTCTAACAATTAACTAATCAAAATTCAGGTTAACTCAACTATCACAAGAAAAATCAACTATTCTTTGATAGATTGTTTAGGCAGAGTATTCATGATGAGTATACTGGAATGGATGGCTACAGCCTTTTGTAAAAAAAAAAAAAAAAAAAAAAAAAAAATAGTAGAAGATGATGTATCAAGAGTCTTCCATCTCTCATCTTCAGGTCAGTGTATGTAAACTGTTGCAAGTGCCTATTGTAAAAAAAGCAAGTGTAGAAGATGACATATCAAGAGTCTTCCATCTTTCATCTTCAGGTCAGTGTGTGTAAACTTTTGCAAGCCTTTTATAGCATCCTAGTGGATTTTGGAGGATGTGTTGTAATTGCTTTGTTTATCCCTGGTTCTGATTGGTGGAAAGACCGCATATGGATTCATTCAATGGTAGCCATAGGTTGCTCACCTCTAATCCTGAATCTTTGTTTATTGAAGGCTTTATTGTGTTAATGTAGAAAGATTCTTTAATTTTTTTGTCTTCCAAAATTTGTATGTGTTAATGATTGTAGTTTATCCCAGTTTATTTTGTGTCCAGCTGACATGGTATGATCTGCAATAGCTGAATTTTGTATTTTCATGAGTCCTGTGTTCTTTTATTCTTGTCCTGAGTTCTTCTTCCCATTTCTCCAATGTATGTTTCATTGCAGAAACATGGTATTTTATAGATGACATTTTTTGTAATTTCATCAATAGTTTTCTGTTTGGTTTTCACTAGAATGGATTTTATTGTCTTGTAAGATTTCCACCAGACATCTATGTTGAACTTCTTGGCTATGCATCCTTAACAATCCACTAAGTTACTATAAAAGACCTGCAACAGTTTACACACACTGACTGGGAGATGGAAGACTTCTGATACGTCATCCTCTACACTTGTTTTTTTTTTTTTACAGCATGTAGTAGCTGTCCATTCCATTAGGGTTTCTCTTTACTACAACTTTGAAAACGGCTGTAAAGAAAGTTTTAATATGATTAGATAGAGAAAGAATTATACCATGATGTCATAGTAGAATAAATATATAGGTTTAAGAGTTTTAGTTATAGTTTCTGTAAACATTACTTTTGCTTGTGAACTTGAAGGTGTTAAATTACATCTGTGTGAAAACTACAGAAATTTTATTCAATGAGAAGACATCCTATAACTTGATATAAGGTAAGAATATACAATTTAGAGACAGGTTGAATAGGTTACAAAGAAAGATTAATTACTGATTTAAAATATTAACAAGAGTTCAATGTTTGGAGAAGATTTCATCATCATCAGGTACAAGTAGTTTAACTAGACACAGGAACATATATACAGTATGAAACAAAAAGTCATACAACTACAGATTGCTTATGGCTTAATAAAAGTAGGTTTATTCAATAAATTATTAAGAAAAATTAAAAACAGTGCAAGATTTGTTCAGTGTGCTTGTGAACTTCTAAAATGTATTTCTTGATCAGACATAAATCAAAAACCCAAAAACAGTGTAAAAGAGAAATATTTTTGTTGCTGAACATAATAAAACTGTATCTGTTTTAAAATGATTGTGTACAGTAGATATTCCTATTGGCCATTGCAAAAACCATAATATGTACTATACAATACGGTTATACTACGTAAGGATGGTTACGATAACAAAAGGAATTATAATCACATTAACAACTTACCATTATAATCATTATCCATTTCTTTATTTCATTCTTACTTCTAAGTCACTGTAAGATAGAAGAAGCCAAGTGTTATTCACGCACACACACTAACACATTAATGGAAAATACAAAGTCACATTTATCAGAATGACATTAAACATTTTTTTACATAACTAAGTTTGTTCAAATGACAACAGGGAGGTTGCTATTACATGGACATGGCAACACTCTTATTAAGAGTCATGATAATAGCTGTTACTTCCTGCCATAATGTAAATGTTGCCTCTGTTATTTCAAAAATATGTTGAACAAAAAACTGTATCAAAAAGTATCTTACCCGATCAAGACTTGAGTCTAAGATACTTGACTTGCCAAATAAATACTAATCATAAGGCCACAACTGCATGGTCTGTGTGTGCATGACATTAGCTTTGACAATGCAGATTATACAGGTTAGATACATAAATATTTGCACTGATAGGGTTTCATCAGCAGAATGTTCATACAAATCAGAGCTAGGCCAGTGTTGCAAAAATACTGCACAGTTATATTTTTCAAACAGGGTGGATAGGATGCCTTCAGATGTAATGGATGCAGTTAATCTAAGAGAGATCAAGAGAAGGCTTGATAAATATTTAAATGACAAGGACTGGCTTTGAGTGTTCTATTTTTATTTTAAACTTAGTTTAGTGGATGGGACAGCCTAGATGAACAAACAGGTCCCTTGTTGCCCTTAAATTATATGTATATGTAAAATGTGTATAAAAACTTCTCTCAAGCATTAAATTTTATTTCTGAAAAAAAAAAAGTGCATTCTGAATTTCAGTAAATGACAGATCTTACTAAGTAGTGCTATATACTAGAACTCAGAATGATAATCTCCAATTTACACAAATCATCATGATTGTTATAAAACCATTGCACCTTGGTGAAAAAGAGCATTTCTTAAACTTTATATCTTACTACATCCCCCCTTCCCTCTTTTTAACCTGGGTGAAATTTTATTTTATATTAACGTAGTATATTTAAAAAAATATATAGTTTAGTATTAATTTAGCACAAAGCTACAAGAGGGATATCTATGCTAACCATTCCCAATTTAGCAGTGATAGACTAGAGGAAGGCAGCTGGCCAACATCACCTACTGTTAACTCCTGAGCTACTCTTTTTACCAACAAACAGTGAAATTGACCTCACACTAGAATACCCCACAGCTGAAAGATCGACCATGTTTGGTAACAGGAATTCGAACCTGGAACACTCAGATTGTGAAAGAAAAAAAAAAAGAGTCAAACATTTGTATAGTATAATGACATCACCTTTTTTGGTAATACTACTGCTCTCTAGCAGTAGAGAAACTATTCTAAGCAAGACGGAGGCAATAAATGTGAGTTTAAGAAAATGTTTGATAAGTATATGAATGATAAGGGCTAGCTTTAAGATGTTTTTTTCTAATTTATTTATTAATAGTTTTAATATAGTTTAGAGGATGGAACAGCTGAGATGGACCAATAGGTCCCATATTGTCCCAAAATGTTATGTTAATTTACAAAGTTCTAGTAACCATATGTGATGTGGTAAACTAAAAATCTTCTATAAATGTCATTTCTTTAATTATAAATGTGTGTGTGAATTATATAATACAGATTTCAAGCATTGAGAGAAAATATGAAGTAATGTGTATGTATCCCACTCACAGAAATAAGCAACAAATAAAGAGTTTGAAAGTTAAGGGTATGTGCCCTGAAGATTTTGCAGATCTGGCACAGGCCTACTGACCAAACAAAATACATGCATATGGTCCAATGGAAAATTACTCAGTACTGCATGGTAGTGTTACTCTGTCAATATTACTATTTGTATTACCACTGCTACACCTGGCCAAAAATATGGGCTAATTATATTAATAAAGTAATTTATAGTGATATAATAATTAATTTTATTATGGTTACACCAAACTATTTAAAGTCTAGTTAGTACTGCTATTAAATTCCTTGACGTGTTTTGTCATAAAGGTTAATGATAAAAATATTAGTAACTAAGTAAGACAACAAAGCAAACAACTGTAGGAACCTAAGTTTTAAGGTTATAAGTGAACTCAGTAGCTAAGTATTCAATAACATAAAATTCATACCCATTTTACCTTATATTTCCAAAATTAAATCAATGATTATACGTCAAGTAGATAAATGATCAATGTACAGGTGTTACTAGGCAAAAAACATTGTTACTATGTTATTAGTACATAGAAAATATATGATATACTCATGATGAGTCATATACTGATATATCGTGGTTAACACGTTACACATTCTTCTTTAGTTTTACTCATTAGTTCTTAAACTTAAAAGTTAAACTAAACTTAACACATTGAATTAAATGTGTTGTTTTGTTTTATACAGTATTATAATTTGTCTTATGTTTGAAAAGACACTGTCACTAGGCACGAATTTTAATTTTTTTAAGCTAAAATTTAAGTGAAAACTAAAAAGTAAAAACTAATAAGTCAGCTTGCAATACTGTCAAATAGTACAAATACAATCTTAAGTTGGTGTTATACTTTATTTTTAGTTGTTGTTTTCTTCTTTTTATTATTATTATTGTAATTAAAATTACTGGTGTCTACTTTATTTTTCTAACAAATTACAAATGTATAAGCCTAGTATTACTACCACTAATAATAGTAAAATAGTACTGGAACTTGGAAAAGGAATGCGATTTCTAATTTCTATTGTTCGAACTCCGAAATTTGAGTCGTTCGAATTAGAAAATTATTGGCTAATCAGCAAGTTAGATTCCCTAAATAACACTTAACCGTTAGAGTGGGACGCTATGTTTAAAACTGCTGCAAATATTGCACAGTTAATATACAATCAAATAAGTTAAATAATAATGAAAATGATCAAATAAATATAACTAACAAATATACAATTACTATTTGCCTGTCATTACCTCGTCGTAATTTTTGAACCAGACGACTTTACTTTAAAGGTATACGAAAAACGAGAGGGCGTAGCGAATATGTAAAGTTAGTAAATGCTTTATTTTGATTTTTAGAATCAATAGTAATACATAATATTGTTATTATTGATGGTATATTTTACTACGGCTTACATTAATATTTATTATGAATATCAATGATATGAAAAACTTCTAAAACACGTTGAAAGTAACAACATATTTTAACTTCAAAAACTAAATGTCAGTGCAATGGCCCCTGTGGTTCAGTGAGAAAATTTTGTATAGTGTAGTCGGAGTAAAGGAGCGGACCAGGTATATGTATGGCTTAAAAACTCGTCAGCACTTAAATCGTACCACTTTATATTCTCTTTGTCATTGGTTATTTTATTTATAGACGGAACCTAAATGATGACTAGTTGTTACTCGCTAGTGATGGTCGAATGCAGTGTTTCAAGAAAACAACAAGCTATTCTTGCGTTTGTGAATATTTTGTAACATTACGAAATTACAGCGATTTCAAGTATATATACTATTTAGCCATGGATCGGTGACTAAAAGAAGGGACTTTCAAGCAATTTCTTCTGATATACTGGCTGCAGATGAAGGTGGACAGACCATTGTAGCACTTTACTGCCGAAAAATCGGAAAATGATCTTTCCAAAATGAAGCAACTGCCACCCAAATCAACTGAATCAGCAGCAAGCAATAAGAAACATAAGTACGACGAGAGCTATTTGTCTCATGGATTTACGTGCATTAGAAATAAAGGTTTTTTTGAGGCACAGTGCATCATGTGCAACAAACTATTATCCAAAGTTCTATGGCACCTGCTAAACTGCAATGGCATTTGGAAACAAATCATTACGAATATAAATATATTGGCTTTTTTCAAGAGAAAGGTTAACGCACTTGCAGACTGTAAAACCTCGATGTTAAAAACTGTTAAAACACACAACGAAAGTGCAACAAAGGCATCTTACAAAGTAAGTTACCGAATTGCGCTCATGGGAGAAGCACATATGATTGAAAAAAACATTGCACGGAAGATATTGTAAATCCTATGCTTCATGAGCAGGCTAGTAAAAAAATTGAAGCATTACAGCTGCCAAACAATACTGTCACCTGTCGAATTCAAGATCTTGCTGTAACATCGAGAATGAGCTTTTTTCCCGGCTAAAATCTTCTAATGAACATTCATTACAGCTAGATGAGTCCACTGACGTGTCGGGGATTACAGTATTGTTGGTATTTGCGCATTATGTGTTGGATATATTTATTCATGAGGACTTGCTCTT